CACACACACAGACACAGTGAACACACGGTGGGCCAGACACACACACACACACACACACACACACACACACACGGTGAACACATCCCAGCCCAGCTGAGATGCCTCTGAGTCAGGCAGGGAAGCAGACTCCCGCCTCGGGTACTTAGTGGGTTACTTAGTAGCAGTTAGTAGGGTCTTCCCCCCTCTGCTCTGTAAGCCGCAGGGTCAAAAACCTGGAAGCACAGGGCCCCACGCAGGACCCCACACTAAGAGGGTGCGTGGAGTGGGGACACAGGTCCGGCCTCCCATCCCTCCGGCTCCTCCTGACGTGGGCTCCCAGCTCACCTGGACCAGCCACTCCAGGGACTGCTTCCCCTCTGGCCCAGTGAGACCCCCCCGTCCTTCCAGGCCTCTGGGCTGAATGTTCTCAGGAGCAGCGGATGGGAAAGGAGGTTTGGGGAAGGCACAGGTGTGGACGGACTCACCTGTCAGGTGCTCCAAGTTCCCTTTGCCAAACACGAGCTTCTTGTCCGGGGTTTTGGTGGACACGACCATCGTCTGCACCACGGACCAGCCGTCCAGCGTGTGCACCAGGGCTGTGGCCTCTGCTACCTGCCACTCAGCTGCGGGGACACAAGGGCCACCGTTAAGGACACCTCCTTTTGGGGTAGGCCTGGCGCCCCGTCCACTCCTGCCCGGGGGTGGCCTCCTCCTGGCCTTGACCTCTAAGTAGGCATCTGGCCGGGGAAGGACGCTGCAGCCACCACGGGACATGAGGGCTCCCCACCCTGCCTTATATAAGATTTGGGGTCCAGACGGACGCAGCAGGGAACTGGGGAGCTAGGGGTGGTCAGGGATGACTCAGGAACCACGGGCAGGGTTGAGGGGAGAGGCAGGAGGTCTGGGCGCTGTTCTGAGCAGTTTGGGGCTTCCGCTGTCCCGAGAGTTGCCCATTTTGGAAAATACTCGCGAAGGAGAACAGCTCATCGGCTACAGGGGCTTCAGGGAAGATGTCAACATGCTTGAGACTCTGGCACCTGCAGTGACTGAGGGATTTGGATTCGTCCTGGGGCAGTGGGGCGGGGGGCTGGACCCTGATGGTCTGCTGGACGCCCTCCCTTCCCTGAGCCCCAAAACACCGTGCCTGCCTCGAATCCAGGGCAACAGAAAAGGGGTCTCTTCACCAACACCCCGCCCACCTCACCTCACCCCAGGGGCTTCTCCCCATAAGCTCCGCCCAGCCCGTGAACCACTAGGCTCCTCCCCCAAAGCCCCTCCCATACACTTCTACCTATGAGATCCCTCCGCCCCATAAGCCCCGCCCTTTCAACATTAGCTCTTCCCCTGAAGCCACGCCCATGCGCCTCCATCTATGAAATCCTCCCCTCAGAGCCCCGCCCCTTTAAAGCCACGCCCTTGCATCTCTACCCATCACTCTACTCAGAGCCTCGCCCCCTGAAGCCACGCCCCCTACGTCGCCCCTTGAGATCGTCCCCCTCAAAGCACCCACCCCTGCGTCTCCGCCTATTAGAGCCTCCCGTCAGCGCCCACCCCGGCTCCTCCACCAATCAGCTTGTCCCCAGAGCCCCGCCCCTGAATCTCCACCTATGAGATCGTCCCATCAGCGCCCAGCCCCTGCGCCGCCACCAATGAGACCCTCCCCGCAGGGGCCCGCCCGGAGATCATCAGCTCCTGTTTCTCCCCTGCAACCCCCGCCGCGGTCACCTCGCGTCATCTGCGGCTTCCCCGGGCCCCACTTGACATCGGGGTGGACCAGAAACACGCGCTGGGTCCCCGCCGGCAGCAGAGGTTCCCTCTGCAGCAGCTCCTCCTCTGCGTCGTCGTCCGCGTCTTCCGGTTCCTCCTCGTCCTCTCCCGGGCAGCTTCGACCTCCGTCCGCCCGCAGGCCCCGCCCTCGGCCCCATGGCCCCTCCAGATTCCCGGGGCCCCCGCGGCCGAAAGCGGCGAGACCGCGCGCGGGGCAGGATGGCGCGGGTGCCTTCGGTGTCGGGCGGCCGCGGCACACGGGGGAGAGCCGGAGCCGCGGGCGTACGGCGGCCCGTAGGGCCCACATAGCGCGTCTAGCGGCTGCGCGATGGGGCGGGGATGCCCGAGGCCCGCTCCTCGTCACGTGCTCATGATTGGCGTTCGGCCGGGACGGGCTCCCCAGCGCCACGCCCCGGCACGGGTCGTGCGTCTCATTGGAGGTTCCGTATCAAGTGCCGGTGATTGGCGTGTGCCGCGGGCGGGAAGGCGGGGCTGAGCAGCTTTTTGATTGGCATGCGGCCGGGGCGGCCTCATTGGCACCACCCCCCGGCACGGGACGTGCTCTTCATTGGTCGTCCCGCGTCACGCGCTGGTGATTGGCGTGTGCCGCGGGCGGGGAAGGCGGGGCCGAGCAGCTTTTTGATTGGCATGCGGCCGGGGCGGCCTCATTGGCACCACTCCCCGGCACGGGGCGTGCTCCTCATTGGTCGTCTCGCGTCACGCGCTGGTGATTGGCGTGTGCCGCGGGCGGGGAAGGCGGGGCCGAGCAGCTTTTTGATTGGCATGCGGCCGGGGCGGCCTCATTGGCACCACTCCCCGGCACGGGGCGTGCTCCTCATTGGTCGTCTCGCGTCACGCGCTGGTGATTGGCGTGTGCCGCGGGCGGGGAAGGCGGGGCCGAGCAGCTTTTTGATTGGCGTCCGGCGGGGCGGGCTCCCCAGCGCCACTCCCCGGCACGGGGCTGATCCTCATTGGTCGTCCCGCGTCACGTGCTGGTGATTGGCGTGTGCCGCGGGCGGGGAAGGCGGGGCCGAGCAGCTTTTTGTTCCGCGTGGGCCGCTCCCGCAGGACCCACCACCAGCTGCAATCGCCGCATCGGTGGGCGCCGGACCCCGGTTCTCCACGGCGCTGCTGTCACCCGCCGAGCCCTCGCTCCCGTCCCGCGCGGGGTGGGGGGATCCAAGGGCCATTGCACCGTCCCCACCGCCGTTCAGGGGACCCCGCGTCTGCCTTGGGGGCTCGAGTCCCGCCCTGGGGGGTCCAGACGCCGCTGAGGGGTCCCCAGGTTTGTCTTGGGGGCTCGAGTCCCGCCCCGGGGGTCCGGATGCCGTTCAGGGGTCGCCACGTCTCTCCTGGGGGTTGAGTCGCGCCCAGGGGATCCCTACGTCTGTCTTGGGGGCTCGAGTGGTGCGTTGGGGGGTCCCTGGTGTGGTCAGGGGGTCCCCATGTGTGTCTTGGGGGCCTGAGTCCAGCTTTGGGGGTCCTGGATGCCGCCCGGGGTTTCCCCGCGTTTGCCTTGGGGGCTCCAGGACCATCTTGGGGGTCCCAGACGCTGCCCAGGGGTCCCCACGTTTGTCTTGGGGGCTCGAGTCTCGCCCTGGGGGTCCCGGACGCCTCCCAGGAGTCCCCACGTCTGCTGTGGGGGTTCGAGTCTCGGTCTGGGGGTCCCGGATGGCGCCCAGGAGTCCCCACGTCTGCTGTGGGGGTTCGAGTCTCACCCTGGGGGTCCCGGATGGCGCCCAGGAGTCCCCACGTCTGCTGTGGGGGTTCGAGTCTCGGTCTGGGGGTCCCGGATGGCGCCCAGGAGTCCCCACGTCTGCTGTGGGGGTTCGAGTCTCGCCCTGGGGGTCCCGGATGGCGCCCAGGAGTCCCCACGTCTGCTGTGGGGGTTCGAGTCTCGGTCTGGGGGTCCCGGATGGCGCCCAGGAGTCCCCACGTCTGCTGTGGGGGTTCGAGTCTCGGTCTGGGGGTCCCGGATGGCGCCCAGGAGTCCCCACGTCTGCTGTGGGGGTTCGAGTCTCACCCTGGGGGTCCCGGATGGCGCCCAGGAGTCCCCACATCTGCAGTGGGGGTTCGAGTCTCACCCTGGGGGTCCCGGATGGCGCCCAGGAGTCCCCACGTCTGCTGTGGGGGTTCGAGTCTCACCCTGGGGGTCCCGGGTGGCGTCCAGGAGTCCCCACATCTGCTGTGGGGGTTCGAGTCTCGGTCTGGGGGTCCCGGATGGCGCCCAGGAGTCCCCACGTCTGCGGTGGGGGTTCGAGTCTCACCCTGGGGGTCCCGGATGGCGCCCAGGAGTCCCCACGTCTGATGTGGGGGTTCGAGTGTCGGTCTGGGGGTCCCGGGTGGCGCCCAGGAGTCCCCACGTCTGCCTTGGGCCTGGAGTCCAGCCCAGGGGTCCCTGAGTCTACACTGGAGGCTGGAATCCAGCCCTGACGGTCTTCCCTGCTGCCTGGGGGGCTTGGATGGGATCCAGGGAGGCTGAGTCCAGCCTGGGGAGCTCCAGGCTGCAGGGCAGGGGCGCGATCTCGGCTCCCTGCAGCCTCCGCCTCCCGGGTTCAAGCCGCACCCGGCTAGTTTTTGTATTTTCAGTGGAGACGACGTTTCATCCTGTGGTCGAGGCTGGTCTCGAACTCCTGACCTTGTTGTGATCGCCCCGCCTCGGCCTCCCAAAGTGCTGCGGTGACAGGCGGGAGCCGCCAGGCCCGGCCGGATTCAGATTCTTTTTAACACTGGTGAAGTCAGAATTGGGGTGTGGGTGTGTGTGTGTGTGGGGCCGGGGGGGGGGGGGTGTGGGGGTGCCCGTGTTGGGGGAGGGTGTGTGTCTGGAGCGGTGTGGGGGGCATAGAATGTGTGTGGGGTGTGTGTGCATGTTGTATGTGTACGTGTGTGGGTGGGGGGTGTTGTGGGGGTGGGGGGTGTTGTGGGGGATGTGTAATGGGTTTGTGGTGTTTGGGTGTGTGTGGGGGGTGTGGGGGGGTTGTGGGTGGGTGTGGGGTTGCGAAGAGTGGGGTTGTGTCTAGGATGTGGGGTTGTGTGTGTGCGGTGGCTGTGTGGTGTGTTTGTGTGTGTCTGTGTGGGTGTGTGTCTGGGGGGGTGTATGTGTGTGGGGTGTGTGTCCGGGGTGGGTGTGGGGTGTTGTGAGGCTGTGGGGGATGTGTAATGGGTTTCTGGTGTTAGGGTGTGTGTGGGGGGGTGTAGGTGCGTGTGGGGTTGCGAACTTTGGGGTTGTGTGTAGGGTGTGGGGTTGTGTGTGTGGGGTGGTTGTGTGGTCCGTTTCTGTGTGTATGTGTGGGTGGGTGTATGTGTGTGGGGTGCATGTTGTGGGGTGTGTGTCCGGGGTGTGTGTGGGTGGTGTGGGGGGTGTGTGGGTTTTGTGTGTGTGCCTGGGGTGTGTGATGTGTGTGTGGATGTGTGTTGGGAATATGTGAGATGTGCGTTGGGGGTGGTTGTGTGGGGCACTGGGCGGGGCGCGGGGTGTGTGTGTCCATGTGGCTTTGTGTGTGTTGGGTGTGTGAGGGTATGTGTGTGTGGGGAATGTGGCTGTGAGTCCGTGTGTGTGGGGTTGTGTCTGTGTGTCCGTGTGGCTTTGTGTGTATTGGGTGTGTATGAGGGTGTGTGTCCGTGTGGCTTTGTATGTGTGTGTGTGTGTGGCTTTGTGTGTTGGTGTGTGAGAGTATGTGTGCATGGGGAATGTGGCTGTGTGTGTGAGTCCGTGTGTGGTTGTGTCCCTGTGGCTTTGTGTGTGTTGGGTGTGTGAGGGTATGTGTGCGTGCAGGGAATGTGACTGTGTGTGAGTCCGTGTGTATGTGGTTGTGTGTGTGTGAGTCCGTGTGTGTGTGTCCCTGTGGCTTTGTGTGTGTTGGGTGTGTGAGGGTATGTGTGCATGCGGGGAATGTGACTGTGTGAGTCCGTGTGTATGTGGTTGTGTGTGTGGGGAATGTGGCTGTGAGTCCGTGTGTGTGGTTGTGTGTGTGTGTCTGTGTGGCTTTGTGTGTATTGGGTGTGTATGAGGGTGTGTGTCCGTGTGGCTTTGTATGTGTGTGGTGTTGTGTGTGTGGCTTTGTGTGTTGGGTGTGTGAGTGTGCATGGGGAATGTGGCTGTGTGTGTGAGTCCGTGTGTGGTTGTGTCCCTGTGGCTTTGTGTGTTTTGGGTGTGTGAGGGTATGTGTGCGTGAGGGAAATGTGACTGTGTGAGTCCGTGTGTATGTGGTTGTGTGTGTGTGAGTCCGTGTGTGTGGCTTTGTGTGTGTTGGGTGTGTATGAGGGTGTGTGAGTCCGTGTGTGTGTCCGTGTGGCTTTGTGTGTGTTGGGTGTGTATGAGGGTGTGTGTGTGGCTTTGTGTGTGTGTGTCTGTGTGTTGGGTGTGTGAGGGTGTGTGCGTGGGGAATGTGGCTGTGTGTGAGTCCGTGTGTGGTTGTGTGTGTGTGTGGCTGTGTGTGTTGGGTGTGTTTGAGGGTGTGTGTGTCTGTGTGTTGGGTGTGTGAGGGTGTGTGCGTGGGGAATGTGGCTGTGTGTGTGAGTCCGTGTGTGGTTGTTTGTGTGTGTGTGTGAGTCCGTGTGTGGTTGTGTGTGTGTGGCTGTGTGTGTGTTGGGTGTGTTTGAGGGTGTGTGTGTCTGTGTGTTGGGTGTGTGAGGGTGTGTGCGTGGGGAATGTGGGTGTGTGCGTGGGGAATGTGGCTGTGTGTGTGAGTCCGTGTGTGGTTGTGTGTGTGTGAGTCCGTGTGTGGTTGTGTGTGTGTGGCTGTGTGTGTTGGGTGTGTGAGGGTGTGTGTGCGTGGGGAATGTGGCTGTGTGTGTGAGTCCGTGTGTGGTTGTGTGTGTGTGTGAGTCCGTGTGTGGTTGTGTGTGTGGCTGTGTGTGTTGGGTGTGTGAGGGTGTGTGTGCGTGGGGAATGTGGCTGTGTGTGAGTCCGTGTGTGGTTGTGTGTGTGTGAGTCCGTGTGTGTGGCTTTGTGTGTCTTGGGTGTGTATGAGGGTGTGTGTGTGAGTCCGTGTGGCTTTGTGTGTGTTGGGTGTGTATGAGGGTGTGTGTGTGTGGCTTTGTATGTGTGTGACTGTGTGTGTTGGGTGTGTGAGGGTATGTGTGCCTGGGGAATGTGGCTGTGTGTGTCCGTGTGTGGTTGTGTGTGTGTGAGTCCGTGTGTGTGTGGTTTGTGTGTGTGTGTGTGTGTGGCTTTGTATGTGTGTCCGTGTGGCTTTGTGTGTGTTGGGTGTGTATGAGGGTGTGTGTGTGGCTGTGTGTGTGTTGGGTGTGTGAGGGTATGTGTGCGTGGGGAATGTGGCTGTGTGTGTGAGTCCGTGTGTGGTTGTGTGTGTGGCTGTGTGTGTGTTGGGTGTGTGAGGGTATGTGTGCGTGGGGAATGTGGCTGTGTGTGTGAGTCCGTGTGT